TGCCTATTAGCTGGAATAGCTACAGCAGCTTGATTCTACAAAGTGCAGATCAATAAATGGCCGTGTGGACACTGGAGACGTTACCTCTGAGTTCAGTTCTCGCAAAAGTCAATCTCTTCACCTGGAGGTAGACTGGATTACTCAGACATTTTCATAGAAGCTTGCTTCAGACCAAGCAACCTGGCTTCTGTACTCCATAGCCCTGTGCAATAATCGTTTCTCAGTTGTGGTGCAATTGTTTATTCATCCTGCCACAGCAACCACACCTCAGTCAGCAGAAGCAGAACTTCTGCAGGCACGTAGGCATATGACGTTAGGTGGAATCCAATTCGCGAGCTTCTCTCTCGGGGGTCTGTAGAACCCAAGTATGAGAAAAGAAATAGAAGAACAGAAATGTACAGGGCCTATGCTATGAAATGATCTTAAAACTCACGTAGAGTTTGACCTTGGACGAGAAAGTAGAGTGAGGTCAGCATTGAACAGGTTCTCCTCATAAACCAACATTCTAGCCTTGTAAGCAAAATTGCCCTGAAAATGCTACATGGGGGGGACAGGTTGCCTGTGTGATCTCCTTTTTCTCAAGGCTGGTTTTAGCATGGAGGAGTGGAGACACAACTCAACACTTCTATGCTGCATTGCAGCTGCCACCTTCCTCCACCGATAGTCATGGTGGCTTGAATGACTGGTGATGTAGTCCGAATCATCTGGAGCCTATGCTGTTGCCATTCCTGGTTTAGGATATGGCAAATCCATAACACTTCTTTGTTATAGTGGGCTTACACAAGGCATGGCACAACATGGCAAGCACATATCTTTCAGGTTTGTTTAGCTAGTTGTGCAAATAGGAGAAATCATGGAAGAGCAAAATAAGTTTTATATAGCAGTTGATTTGTTCATGTAAATTCAGTGTCTTTCCCTTTATCCAGCAGTGGGAAATCTGCAGCCTTTCAAATCCTATTGAACTACAACTCCCAGCATTTTTCAACATTGGCCATTTTGATTGGGGGCTGCTCAGGATTATAGTTTAGCCATATCTGAGCAGAGTCTGGTTCTCAGCTTTGTTTCACCCTAAGTAACTTTTTAGCAAGGGTGCCATGGATTCATAAGACTGGCTCCAACTCACAGCACATCTTCCTGTCGATTTTTTTCCTCCTGTGGCAGGTTAACATGAGCTGTGTTTGTAAAACACTATGAACCACTTGTTAAGTTTTAATAAATCAGAACATGAGTGAGCGGTGTATTAATACAGGTAGTATTTGTTTAGCAACCATTCACAGTTATGACAGTGATGAAAAAGTAACTTTGCGACCAATCCTCACATTTACAACCTTCACATGTCTGTAAAGCAAAGGAAAGCTGAAGTCAGATCGTAAGTACAGTTGAGGTTTCAACTTAGTGATCACTGCTTAACGACTGAGTTGCTGGTCCCAATTGTGGTCACTAAACGAGGACTCCCTGGATCAGCAACCTGTAATTTCCCATTCGTACAAGTGAGTAAAGAAACCAGACAAGGGCAACCAGGCTAATGTCCAAACCTGAGATTATTTTTTACTGATTCTCCTTGAGGATTCTTTAACAACAAACCCTGATCTCAAACTCTCGGTTGGACACAATAAATCATAATCCCAAAGCTGAGATATTTCTAAAAAGCCCTCCTCGGCCATCCAAACATGATAAAAGCCAGTGGGAAGTGTAAGTCCACCAAATCCAAAAACCAGTGGCAATTTTCTTGGCGGTTGGGATGGCATTTTCTTTCTTTTCTTTTTTTTAGAGCAACTGAGGACAATCCAGTGATGTAACGATGCTCCTGAGTCATGAGTCAGGTTGAGATTTCCAAAAAAGGGAATGTTGGGGAGATTAAAGGTTTTTGGCTTTGTTTTGTTTTTATTTTTTGCTTTTGGGTGTGGAAAGCCTAAATAAAAACTTGCACGCAGTCAGCAGCACAATTGCTAGAGGTTGTGTTGTTATTATAGAGAACTTCAGAGAGAACCTGGGAGAAGAAATGTGACAGTTAACAAAACTAAAGCTGGGAACAGGAAGAAGCTTGTTCTCCACCTTAATTCCCTTTAAAAGACGGAAAAACCCTGTCAGGCTTTCAAGATTCTGTTCTTATACCCTATAACAATAGAGATCCAGGAGTTCTTCTGGTGTCTGTTTCCTGACCTGCCCTACCTTCAAGGGCTGACAATTATCCATCCATCCATCCACTCACTTTGTATCACTGTCCACTCACCATGCAACTCCAACTAGTTAACTTCCAGTTAAAAACAAGAACAAAAGAACCAAACAGAAATTCAAATATATCCTATCTGAAGCTAAAGGCCACAAAAAAAAGGGGTGGGGGGAGTTTACGGCCATATATTACTTGTGGTGATCCACCCAGAGTCGTTTATGTGAGATGGGCAGCTATACAAACCATCAGCCCAAAGGCCAAAGACATAAATTGCCTGCAGTTCACAGGCCAAGAGATGCCACTGCAAGGCTATTCAACCCAAGACAGCATTCCCTAAACCATATTCCCCTCCCAGTGGTGCAAATCTCAGCCCTTGGTGAGTCTTGAGGTTCTGTCAGCCCCACGAGGTAGACCAGACCAGGAAATCAATTCCACTGGAAGGCTAAAACTCCTTTTACGGAGATTGGCTATAATTAACCGAGTCTTGCGAGTCTTGGGCCAGACCTCCTCCCACTTCTTATACCCATGTGAATGAGTGAGATGGCAGCCTGAGTCACTTCCAAATGTTATCTAATTTCTCAGGGCTTAAAACATGTTTCAGCCCCTTTTGCCTAGGAAACGGTTCCTGCATACTTCCATCAAGGTCGCCTTCCTTACTCTCTACAGGTGCCATCAAATCTGGGAGTGGGAATCTAGTGATCTGACGGGATTTGAAAGTGTGATGACGGAGTTCCAAAATTCCTATCAAGAGGACAGACTCCCTTTGTATGTCTGTCTGATGATACATAACTTAAAAAGACATGGAAGGTGATCTCATTGTGCTGCAACTTTTTCCTGTAAATCCACCCTCCGTCCCCCTGTCTGCAGAGTGTGCAGAGCAGAGAAAAAACTGGGCAGGGAATTAATGCTTTTTTCATTCATTTTTTCTGGGATGATCTCACAAGGAAATAGGTGCTGTGGGTGGGGGGAGCTTCCCTTTAGAGCAACACAAGCTGAGTTTCTATGGCAATGTTTCATTAAAGAAGTCATGGGACAGCCTGTCAAGATGGGGTTCAAATTCCCCCCCTCCAGCTTCTCTTCCTCACAATGGCAGGCCAGAAGGAGCCACACCTGCATGGAAGGGAAGGCTGCTCACGGTCTGGTGTAGTGATAAAGGTGCTGGATTCGAAACTAGGAGATGGCGAGTTCCAGTCCTCCTTTAGGCATGGAAGCCAGCTCTTACCCCAACCCACCTCACAGGGTGGTGGTTGTGGAGAAAATAGAAGCAGGAGCATTGTATGCCTACTCTGAGTTGGACAAAATAGGCAGGATACAAATCTAATAATAAATTAAACAATTGCAGGCAGGTGATTTCAGGCTTACTCAGGGCATGGCAAGCTGCAGTCTGGGGTAACTACGTCTGTCTGTTGCCAGTGTACCAAGCCTTGAACATAGATGGATGCCCCGGAATCATCATCATCATCATCATCATCATCATCATCATCATCATCAGTGAATTGCTGAGAACCACCATATTATTTTCTCCAAAGACCTTAAGGAGAGCATGACTTGAAGTAACTCTGGAATTTTGTACATGGAATTAGCCTTATTTTATCCTTTCTACAACATTGTGGGTGCACCATTGGGAGACCTAAAGATCGTCATGGAGAAAATCTACCTATGTGGTTGCTAGGAGTCGAAAATGACTTGATGGCACAGAATCAATCACAACATTGTGAGGAGACAATGTCCACAGGGTGTCCACAAGATGTGGTCAAAAAAACCAAGATGGTAGCCATGTGTAAGACATGTTGTCACTTGTTCCTTCTTCTGGCAGAGCTCATGTGAAGACAAGCCAGGGTTGGGAAACCCATGGACCACACATGACCCCCCCAAAACACATTTTGATATCCCCAGAGCACCCTCAGATCATGCTGCTAATATTAAGCAGCAGAAGTTGGGAATTGGGGGTGAGGCATTGTTCTTTTTTCTCCCTCTTCAAAACAATTATGATTACTATTCATCTTATTACTACTATCCCTACTACCACATGGGCATCTGCAGGGAGATATCAGAATCTGCAAGATGGCAGATGTGTCGCTGGGACTGAAGCCCCGCCCTTTTTGCAGGTGTACGGAATGCTGACACACATACAGAAGGGGCGTGGCTTGGGTCATGACATCACATCTAGCATCTTGCAGATTTTGACACTGGGTGCTGCTGGGTGTTTCGTTTTATTTATTTGTTTGTTTATTTGACATTTTTCCATACTGCCGCTATCAAAACGACTCTTAGCAGGTTACATAGGAAAAAACAATACAGTTTAAATATGCCCAGTACAAAAGATAAAAACACAACAAGATAAAAAATAAAATAAAAAACAAAAATGGCCACATCAAAGCAGGAAAAAGTTCTCTGAACTGGCTTGGTCTTCAAAAGTATCTGAAAAGCCACCATCGAGGGTGCTGGCCTATCTCCATGGATTAGCTGTTCCATGTTGCATCAGAAAAGCTGCAGTTCCTCGCCTCAGCACCTGAACCTCCCCAAAGTGTGAGATTTGTAGCAGTTTCTCCTGGCAGGTCTTACTGGTCAGGCCGATACTGACTGGAGTAAGTGGTCCTGCAGGTTTCTGATGCCAAGCCATAAAGGGCTTAGATCCCTGACAGATGCAATCAAACAGAAAGTGATACACAATGAAAGAATGAAAGAAACACACGGTAGGAAGGAAGGAAATTAAAAACGGAAAACCCTGGGCCAGCAATGTGGGGAAATCGAACTTCCCCCTTTTATGGTAGTTAAAAGCTGAAGTCAGACCAGAGAAAAGTGTAAGACTGACCGTTCCCAGGGTGAATCAAAAGGACAGATCCCCAGAAGCAGCGATGGGTGAATCAGACATCTACATTCGGCATATCGAGTTGCTGGGGTTTGAGAAGAGATTTTTCCCCAGCCAACACTATGTAAGTCCTTGGAGATCAGCTTCTCTGATTTAAGAAGCTGAATCTCCTCAGCCTTGACTTCTGGAGGATAGAGGGTCCAGCTGATGGTCTCCTTTCATATCTCAGAAAAATTGTTGAACTTATTTACAATGTCCTGGGGACCTGGCTCCGTCTGGAGGTGAAGCATGTATTCAATAGTCAAAAGGTCTCTGGTTTAATCCCCAGCTTTGGCAATTACCAAAGGGAGAAAGGAAGGGTCTAAGCCAGTGTTTCTCAACCTTGGCAACTTTAAAGATGTGTGGACCTTAAAGTGTGCTGGCTGGGGAATTCTGGGAGTTGAAATCTACACATCATAAAATTGCCAAGGTTGAGAAACACTCGTCTAAGCAATCAGAATAGATAATATTGAGCTTGATGGAAAAATAAGGCAGCTCTTTATGTTTTCAGTGGCCATCTCATCTTCCTCATTACTGGGGAGACCTTTAAAGCAGGACTTTGGGACAGAGATACAGGGGCTCAATGGAGCAGAATGAGTAGAGGGAGTGAATCTTTCAAAGAATCATAGAAGAACAGACTTAATCAGACTTAATTTGGCCAGATAAAGACCCAACAGTTGCACTCTCTCAGTGTCTGAGAGAGTGCAACTAACTAACTAACTAATCAGTGTTGGTTAGTTTTAACTTTAATTAGATGCTGTGGGGGCTTAACATGCATGAAGTCATCTTGCTCGGCTAGCTCGTGTTTTAGTGTATTGCACAAAATGAGAAAAATTGGTTACTGCAGTGTGGCCAGTTAAAGGAGTGCTGCTGTGCAGCTGGATAGGGCATGTTGGCCAAGGAGTCCAACTTCCAGGTCTGGTCAGGAATCCTAACAAAAGCATCTCAATCAGGTCGCCAGATGGCTGTCTAGCCTCCCCTGGACAGATCCTGTAAAGGGGAACCCATCGCTTTTCTGGTTCCACTGACAAAGTGGTCTACCACTAGGAAGTCTTTCCTAAACACTCAACGTCTGCCTTCTTGTCGTTGAAGGCCACTGAAAGATGACTGATAGGGGGATATGCTAGGACTTTTCAAGTATCTGAAACACTGGGAAGATGGAAGACAGGTCTTGACTTCCATGTTATGATACCTCTGCAGGTGTTTGAAAAATGCTAACGTTATCCTCCCCAGATTTAGTTTCTAGTCCCTTGAGAATCCTCACTGCTCTTCTTTACACCTATCACCATTTCTTGGAATCGTCCTTAAAATGTGGTGTCCACAACTGGGCATGGGAATTGAGGTGGACTCTGATCAATGCTGAATATAATGAAAGAATGAGTGCCCAGGATTTAGAAACTAGACTGCTATTGTAGCAGGCTAAAGTTTCATTTATCTGCCGAAAAGTCAAGTCACATTAGCCGCTCAATCCCCCAATGATCAGTTATAATTCCAAGGTCCTTTTCACATCTATCCCTTCCAAGCCAGTTATCCTAAATGAAGAACCCTGCATTAGTCTCTTTTAGATTTCATTCTGTTATTTCCAGCCCATTTCTCAAACTTATCAAGATGGTTTTGAATTTTATTTCTGTCTTCTACAGTATTAGCTAGCCCACCCAAATAAGTTTGTAATTATCATCTGCAAATGGGATAAGTATTTCCTCCACCCTGTCCTCAAATTATTAATAAAAACATGGAGAGGACACGGTCTAGGACTGAACTTTGTGGCCCTGCTCAATATTCAATGTTCAATTTACAAACCCACTCTGGTTTGATGAGGAACTATTAGTGTGCCTTTGAGTATGATTGTAGAGCCAATATGTATTTTATAGTCCCCCAGTCAAGCCCACATATAACTAGCTTTCTAATCAGAGGGTCATGACTTAAAGGCTTTGCTAAAATCAAGGCAGAACATGATCACAATGTATTATCTAAAGAGCATCTGCCCGCCCCTGCCAGTAAGTAAGACAATATACACCCAGAATCTAAAACAATCTCTTCCTGTTCTGGAACATGGATGAGGAATCAGTGGGGCAGAGAAAAAAATAGTTGAACATTGTTGTTGATTTTGAATGTTGTGCTTTACACAGGTTTATATGTTTTTGGTGAAATGGCAAGATCTGATAGAAAAAGTTGTGTATCGGAAGTTCACAGAGATCTATGAGTTCCATGTAAGTATGGCTTGCCTGAGTGTTTTATTATTAGGTTAGATTAGATTTGGGGGAAGGGTGTGAAAAAAAAATCACCACCATTATCTCCTCCTCCTCCTCCTCCTCCTCCTGCTCCTCCTGCTCCTGCTCCTCCTCCTCCTCCTCCTCCTCCTCCTCCTCCTCCTCCTCCTCCTCCTTCTTCCAAACAGACAGGCACCATGTTCATAACATGCCTGAGATAACAATTTTTGAAAAGAAGAAAGTCTGGTTCATTGATGTTGCTGTACTGGATGATGTGAGGATTGAGGAAAAGCAATCGGAAAACATTACAAAATACCAGGACTTGCAGATTGAAGTTGAATTCTTATGGAAAAAGAAATCTGCTGTAATACCAATCATGATTGAGCCCTCAGAGCAATATCTAAAGGACTCCCTCGATATCTGGAAATTTTGAATTTATAGGACGTGAACATCCTAATTTTATAAAAAAACCACCTTGCTTGGAACTGCCTATATTCTTAGACAGTACCTTAATGATTCTTAGGTCCTTGGTTAGGACTTGAATTATTAAATTTTTACCAGTCTTAGACTGTGAATCTAATTATGGATGATGATGATGATGATTGATGAAGATGATAATAGCAGCTAGAGCCATGTGGGGAAGGGATCTTAGGACAGAATGCTGAGAATTGAGGATAGGTAGCATATTTCTCAAGGCCACCTCAACTTAGTCTCATCATATTTGACCCCCAAATGTAGAAATTAATAGAGGAACTTTTTGAGCTTAACCCGCACATCTGCTGAACAAGCCCAATGGAGAATAACTTCTGGAAGTCAAGATGGAGGGAACTATTTCTCCATTGGACATAGCTCCCACACCACGACTGGTCTTCTGTTTTCTTTCTTTTTTCAAAAATATAGCTGGTTGGAATTTTTATACCTCCTGACTTGACAGGATGATGAAATCAAGCCCCATGAAGATTTCCCTTGTTGTGAAAGTCGAGGAAGCCCACAAAGAAGAAATTGGTTATCACTATTTTTTTAAAAAGTGGCATGGGGTTTTTTTTGTTTGTTTCTGAGTGCGTATGTGCACGTTTAAAAGTATTGGGAAGGCTTGTGGAATCCAGTAATAAAGTCAGGTTAGACTCGGGGGTCCAAGAAAGATGGTCCTTTTAACCCTGTATGTTTCAACTCCCTTTATTTCCCTAAGGCAGCCCAGTTTCTGGTTCCTTTTCCTAGATTGATCCAAGACTGTGAGGCTGAGTTTGCACAACATGCCGGTCTAGGCTAAATGGAGTGTCTGTGTGTAGTTTCTCCGTGTTGTGAGAACAGCTATTGTCTTAGGATATTGTAAGAACCAGATGTCAGATGGTGGGACAAAGGGCAAGAATTCCCCAGACACTTGTTCTTTTCTAAATTACAGTGATGTTTGTTGTTCCAGAGCTTTTCAAGTAAATAACCTATGTTAATCTCTAGTATATATAGCGGGCAGGGCGCATTTGGTGAACATGGCAGCTGTGTTTCATTCACCTGAGATTTTTGTGTTGTGAGAACCTAGCCTCGTCCCCTGAGTTGAAGGATAACACGGGATCCTCCTTGCCCCCCGTCCTCTCTCATGGGTAGAAGCTAGCTGGTCTGGAGGGAGAGGCTAACATAGATGGTCCAGGCAGTCCACATGTCACATACAGCTTAGTTAGTCTTCTAACTCCTTGCTGCTCCTTGACCTCCAGAATCTGCCATTTGAGGCAGTTGCCACATTTTACCCAATGGAAGGGGTGCCTGGCAAATCACTGTCCCTGTTTTAACCTGGTTTAGGCAAAGGGGTGCAAATGAATATGGAGGCACCCTGTTTTTTACAACCTACAATTTCTATATCGCTATAATGTAGGATTGTTTCTTTGTGTTTTTAAACAAAGAATAATGGTTTCTAAATTGGTGGATAATGGATTACTCCAGGGCAATGTTTCTCAACCAGGTTGGATGAAGGCCACACTCAAGGAGATAAGTATAGCCCTCAACAGGAGTGTGGGAAGTTTAAGAAGATGAGACTGGCACCACCCTAAGGAATTCACGGTGTTTTGGCT